AGATAATATATGTTCCCCCAGGCTGGAGCTCTGATTTCAGCGTATTTGTTTGCGATTGCATCATCGAGTAGTGAGCAATGTAAATGTTTTCCACATGTGTACCTTCCAGGGAATTTAGTTTACACCCATTTCCCCTATGAGCACATTTTGTAAACTGAGGTGATTAGTCGAGCGTGAAGTGAGTCAAGAAAGAGACAAAGACCATTTCACATTACAAAATGAGCCTGCATGCACACTGGGCCAGCAGTGTCCCAGAGGCCTTACACACACACATGCACTTGTACAGCTATCTTTATGGGCACTTTCCATAGCTGTAAGGGTGTTTCTACTGTACAAACTATATATTCTCTCTGTCTACACCTAAATCCAACCCTTACAGCAAACAATCTGCATTTTTACAGTGTAATTCTCTTTGATTTATAAGCCATTTTCATTCTCGTGCACTCAAAAATGACTTGTTTAAGCTACTCATTTAAAATAAGTTGGGTTTTTTGGAGGGATAAACTTAATTTTTGTATGTTTAATCCAAATAAATTTGTAAACAATAACGTTAGTAAGTTTGTGTTGAGACAGGATTAATGAAATTGCATGGGGACCGAAGTATGCATACACAAGATCAAAATGAACTGGTATTGCTATACATGTGGGGACATTCGGTCCCCACATATAAGGAATACAAAGCACACGCACTCCTCCTCACACATGCATGCACACACTTTTATTTAGGGGCTAGCAAAATATTTTCTGTTTCCCAAGGCAATGCACCCCATGTGTGCTGGGTGCCTTCCATCTCCAAACTCCAAAAAGCGTATGTAGTAACACCCCATAATCCCAAAACAACCAGCCCCTTGAGCCCCTTACCCCACCCTCTAAAGCAAATACTGGGATCATTCATCCTTAGCCCTCACCAAAACCAGAACCAAACCTTCAAACAATGAGCGCTCTTTGTGCAGAGCGAGTCCATAGGCACTGCACACACTCATACATCCACCCACACACACGTCCCACAACACCTGGTTCCAATAACACAGACTCAAAGGCGATGAAGATGATCTTGGATGTTCTTTGATTATAAATTGAAACGCAATGGCGATCGGGGGATGGGGAGGAATGATGCTGCGGTGAAATCATCATCATTGACCTAAAAATTCAGCACAAAAGCAATGCCCATGACCAACAACTCCCCCATCAGTTTTCATGTAGCCGGAGTCACGTTTGTCAAACTCCGAAGAACTCGTATCTGCCAGGAAACACAAAGAGATGGCAGAAGAACGGCATTTTTTAGATGTCTTTCTGTTTTCTCACTTCCTTTTCTTTAGAGAGCGAGAGCATGAATCTGGATGGAGCTCCACACGTGCATGCATTCCCCCAAATCTCCAGCCATGCATGAGTTTAAGTGCCTATACACACTGTAGTTCCTCTGTGATTCACTTTATTTAGCATTGCGGTGTGGTAAATGAGCCGCGGCCTCGCAGTAGCATTAACTACAGTGTTGAGACTTGGGTTGTAAGGCATAACTGATGATCACTTTACTGGACTGCTGGTGTGTAACTTTCCATTTAAGGACCAATACAGTACATCGCAATGCAGATGTGGAGGAATCGGTATTGGTTTAGTGAGAGACTATAACTTGTTATAATGATTTTCTGACATCATTCATCATGGAGACTCACTCTCATTTGAATCAGTGAGTTGTTTTTTGAGATTCACTCTGAATGAATCATTTGAATCAGTGAGTTGTTTATTGAGATTCACGCTGAATGAATCATTTGGATCAGTGAGTTGTTTCTTGAGATTCACGCTGAATGAATCATTTGGATCAGTGAGTTGTTTCTTGAGATTCACGCTGAATGAATCATTTGGATCAGTGAGTTGTTTATTGAGATTCACTCTGAATGAATCATTTGAATCAGTGAGTTGTTTACTGGATACTCACTCTGAATAAATCATTTGAATCAGTGAGTTGTTTACTGGATACTCACTCTGAATAAATCATTTGAATCAGTGAGTTGTTTAATGGATACTCACTCTGAATAAATCATTTGTATCAGTGAGTTGTTTATTGAGATTCACTTTGAATGAATCATTTGAATCAGTAAGTTGTTGATTGAAATTCACTCTGAATTAATCATTTGAATCAGTGAGTTGTTGATTGAGATTCACTTTGAATGAATAATTTGAATCAGTGAGTTGTTTATTGAGATTCACTTTGAATGAATCATTTGCATCAGTGAGGTGTTTACAGGATACTCTGAATGAATAATTTGAATCAGTGAGTTGTTTATTGAGATTCACTTTGAATGAATAATTTGCATCAGTGAGGTGTTTACAGGATACTCTGAATGAATAATTTGAATCAGTGAGTTGTTGATTGTGATTCACTCTGAATGAATCATTTGAATCAGTGAGTTGTTTATTGAGATTCACTTTGAATAAATCATTTGAATCAGTGAGTTGTTTATTGAAATTCACTCTGAATGAATCATTTGAATCAGTAAGTTATTTATTGAGATTCACTCTGAATGAATCATTTGAATCAGTGAGCAGTTTACTGGAGATTCACTCTGAATGAATCATTTGAATCAGTGAGTTGTTTATTGAGATTCACTTTGAATAAATCATTTGAATCAGTGAGTTGTTTATTGAAATTCACTCTGAATAAATCCTTTAAATCAGTGAGTTGTTTATTGAGATTCACTCTGAATGAATCATTTGAATCAGTGAGCAGTTTACTGGAGACTCACTCTGAATGAATCGTTTGAATCAGTGAGCTTATCAGTAGCATACTATGGCGGGTGAGTAGCATACTATGAAGAAGCCAAGATGGGTGTACTGATTAAATACTAAGGCAAGAGAAGCTAAATGAATGTTTAAGTAGAACTCCGCGGTTTCCTCCCACCCTTCAAAAACATACAGCTTAAGTTAACTTGACTAATCCAAATCCGCACAAAAGACATGCTCCTAGTCAGTAGTTATCTCTTAAGACCAATCACTATCTGTTCATGAGCTACTACAGCAGGGGAGTTCTCAGATCTACCTGAGCTCAAACTCCCCTCTTGCCTTGCAAACGGGAGGGAGCCCCGGGCTCGAGGATCTTATGAGCTCAGAGCTCTCTCCCGGGACAAACAAGCTCTATAATCAATCATCAGCAGTGTGAACTCTTGAACAATAGCAACGACACTTGTGACGTTATATTAGTCAAGACTTTAAGACACTTTTTCGGATTTATATCCAACGTGAGCAGTTTGGAGAAATATGTGGAGTCTGTGTAGGAATACCTTCATTCCAGAGGATGCAGTGCAATGCCAATGCATCCTGATATTAAATTGGACTGAATCACTGACATGCCAATCATAATCAAACCAAACCGTGACACCAGTGTAGCTTCACCCCCTAAGTAAACAGATTCTGCACGGCAGTTTTTGTCTTGTTTCTAGTCCAAAATTTGAAGTATAATGAATAAAGCTCTAGCTGCGTCTCAAATGGCACACTATGCACTCATGCACTATGCACTTACACACTTAACAGCATAGTATATGTATGTAGTGTCGTCCCAAATGGAGCACTAATGTTTTTTACTAAGCGGAAACTTAAAGCGTTTCCCTGATGACGTTCGGCGGTTGCCAAATCAGTGAAATAAATGACCGAACTATCAAATAATACCTGCCATGAGTATAACCGCATTCACCATCGGGAGGCGCTATAATCACTCTCATAGGAGAATTTTTTTTTTTTGGTAATTTACCTTTTTTTTATTGTTCAACAGCCAAGAACAAAGAACACACTTCACCCTACACATGCATATGATACGTTACATATTCAGCCACGTACACCAAGATAATACAACAAAGAATAACAATGTATAGCAAACATATATGGAAATTAAGGTTGTGGTACCTTTGAATGTACATACTCAATTATCCTAATTTTAAATGTTGCCAAAGATTATCCCAATTACTATGTACTTCTCCCTCATTGTTCCCAGCAAACACTCATATGATGCAATTTCAATCATCCCAGTAATCCACTCCTTCATTTCTGGCATTCTGGGACACTTCCAGTCACGTAGTATCATCCTAGCAGCTGTAACGCATCCAATCTTGAGAAGAATAAAGGATTTTTTAGCTATATTAGGTATCACTAATTTATCACCAAGAAGGCATAGCCGTGGCTCTGCAGGTAACTCACAGCCTAGCCAATCCTCCGTTATTCTTCAAATTTTACACCAGAATGGGTAAACTAGACCAGGGGTTCCCAAACTTTTTAGCTTGCGACCCCCAAAATAACAATGCTAGTGACTCGCAACCCCCAATATCCTCTGAGGTAGTTATATATACAGAAACCTTGCATGCAATAGCGCACACACACCAATAGACCCAGGTTTATTCTTAGTTTAATTTTTTTAAATGTAAATCAGAGCTGTAAATGTGCCAGAAAGTTTAACCTGATGTTATAAAATCAATCTGCTGCATCTGACGCCATTGGTATGTCTTTAAAATTATGTAATTACCCCTGGGGTCGCAATCCAATAGAACTAGTAACTATAAGCTACTGTAGTAACTATATAGTATATATTAACTATGAACAACAATTTTTCTCTTCAGTAGTTTATTGGTAATTTTTATGGTTTAATATAAATAAATAGATTTTTGGAAATCACCAGGCGACCCCCCTTTATTGTCCCGCGACCCCTTGGGGGGTCCCGACCCCCACTTTGAGAACCACTGAACTAGACAACATTCCCAGATCATGTGCAAATAAGTACCCTCTTCTTTATTGTATTTCCAACACTGATTATTTCCAGCTAGTCCCATCCTATAGAGTCTGGATGGTGTGTTATAGTTTGATTTTGGCTTATTATTTCTGACAAAACAAGACAATAAGTTTTGCTTGTCTAGAAAATGCTTCTTGATTCAGGAATGTTTAGATATTTGAACAAGAAACAAGACAGTATCTACATGCAAACCCATTTTTTTCAGTGTATTTCAGAAGCATCCTACCTCTTTGTTGAGGGCGATAAACGCTGCCTACATTGATGTTGGGGTTTTCTGCAGTGTTGGAGACCAGCGGGTTTCGTGGCGCTGGTTGTAGAAATGGAGGCTGCGGCTGAGGCCTTCCGTACGGCGGAAACTGTTCATATTGTGGACTTTGCACCGCAGGCTGAAAGGATGAGCCCGTATTGCTTGAAGCACCGTTAGGAACTGCAGGATTATCCTCATTGAACAGACTGTGTGTGTATCTGTGGTCCAGACCGTCAGAGAACGGTGGCTGTGCAGGTTGGGCTGGAACAGCCTGGTATTGTTGACCGTACGGTGGATAAAATCGATATCGATCATCATTTGCAGGATTTCCTCCACCGAAACTGCCTGTAGAATATCCTCCATAACCACCTCCACCTAAACCTCCACCCGTGCCTGCCGAATACCCCGTCCCAAGGAATGGAGGTTCATATGACCTGTCTGAAACTGGGTCATAAACAAGGTTATTTTAGTGACAATTGTTGAAAAAAAATCACAAATTAACCCTTGTGTGTTGTTTAAATTGACTCCGCTTAGGTTATATTAGTGCTGTTTTTGCCCCATTGACTTCCATTATAATCACATCTATTGATTGCAAAGGCAAACACCATATAATCATGCATTCTTGATTGTTGCTGGTTTTCACTGTTGGAAAGTGTTAAAATGTGTCATTTTTATTGTCGATCATCAGTTGTCAGCATTAGCCCTCTAGATATGCTGAAAAAAAGTTACGAATTGCCGTGAGATTGCGTTGAAAAAAACTCAATAGAAATGTGTTCACCAACATAGAAACAAAACCATTATTGAAACAAACAAAAACTGAGATGCACAACAAATGCACAAATAGTATCGAAATAACTAATTTAAAGGTGCAAAACTATACATGTGTAAATATACACTGTAAAAATGACTAAAATAATAAAAAGTCATGATTATGTTACTTTAGTTTACTTCAGAAAGTTAATCAGGTTTCAACTCTTTTTTTTTTTTAAGTTAAACAAATTTTAACTTGTTCTAACTTGATGTTTTAAGTCAGCTTGAATGGGGTATATGCACAGCCAGTGTTTTTCAGCCAATGGAAGATTAATGTGACTATTCCCAATCTCATACTTTTCGGCATCGATGTTGTAATGTAATTAAAACACAATCAGTTAAATAGACTTAAGCATTCATTTAGTTGTTCAAGCTTAAAACAAGAGGATAGACCCTGTAAGTGCTAGCACCATCAGGATCAGCAGGCGAGCGCAGAAACTCCATTGAAAATACTAGGCTGAAATAAACTCGTATTTTAAAGACACGATGGGGGAAAATGTAATTTAATGCAATGCTTTTTGTCCGGTGTGGGACCCACTTTACATTGTACATCTTTCAGGCAGTGAAGATTACTTATTTTTTAAGAAATCAGACCATAAACATGCCAATTTTATAACAGAAAAACAGATCACCAGAAGCGCTGGCTGAAATTAAAAGGTTCATTTGCATAGACCCTATCGATGCAAGTTAAAATGACTTGTAAATTTAAATCGGTTCAACTTAAAAACTTAACTGAGCACTTTTTTAATATACTCAAGACTTAAAGACTTATTAATTATATACAGCTACTCTCTGATGATTTGAAGTGCTTCTTTTACCTTTACTTGTAAGTTGCTTGATATGAATATGTTTAGTTAAGCAACTCTGCTGACCTACAGAATTACTCAGACAACATATCTGTCAAGAAATCTATAGAAATGGCTCCACAAACAAAACCATAGCTAAACTGAAACGCACAGCAAATGTGAAAAGAGCATAGAAGAGTATAGCGTTGGATAAAAGTGTCTGCTAAATGAGTAAATGTAAATGTAACCTTGGTCATACGGAGCACCGAACGGAGGCTGTTGCGGGATTGGATATTGAGGATATGATGATGATGCTGATGATGATGCTCCAGATGACGGTCTATAACGAGAGCCGGTTTGTGACTGAAATCGACTTGTTTCGCTTCTTCCCACCGCACCTTGCTGCTGCCGCCAGTTTTCCGGCACCTGTCCGAATCCAAACGGGTGTCTGGCTTGACCCCTCACCGTCTCCGAGCTCCCTCTTGAGGGTGCTTGTCTTCGCACATTTCCACCCTGTGACCTACGATTTGGAGCGTCAGCAAGAAGCACTCGATGGTTCCTATCCCGTTCCTGGTTCCGAGCCGGGACGTATTCGGCTCCGCTGTTGAGTAGACTATAAACACGTCCATTATTCTCCCACTGGATCATCTGCCTCCATGGGTTTGTGTCGTCGGGTTGAGATTGGGACTGTCCCGTTACACTTCCTAATACCCACAAGCTCATCAAAAGTACATGCAGCATATTGAGAAGACTAAAGAACGAAGTTAAAGCTCTGAATTGTTGATCCAGCAAGTTAAAGATGGCAATGCATTGAAGACTAACAGTGTCAAATCAGACTAAGAGCAACAGGTAAGATATCCAGAAGACTAATAAAAGAAGGCGAA